TGTGTGTGTGTGTGTGTGTGTGTGTGTGTGTGTGTGAGTTTGTATTAGAGTAAATTTACGTACCTGGCTCTCACTGACTGCCCAGTGTGATTTAGGAGTCGAGCCGGGCCGCTGCTTGCTGTGTTTAATAGATCACTCTGAAAACAGTGCCGGGACGAGAATCCTAAATGGCTGCTTGTATTTTATGAGCCATTTAGAGCCAAATGCAGGAGATACAGCGAGGATAGGTTATACTGCATATAAATATACAGCCTTCATAAAGCCTTATTAATGGATGAGTTATACAAACATAAAGTTGTTGTAAGAGTGATTTCAGTCATTTATTTACCACCAAGCGACAAGCACAACAAAATGCTTTTGTTAGTGCAGTTGTGCTCTTGTGCTCAATTTTGTGTGGCATTAAAACTGTATGAACGACCACCACGACTACTTCCGCTGTTCTTGGTGAGCTTTGATGTCGTCTCTGAATCTCCACGTTGGAAATCATTGTTGTTGAGTGCTTGGATTACTCACACAGGCGCTTTTGTTACACTGTGATAATATAAAGGAAAGCCATGACTGTTGTTATTCCAAAGCAGCGGGCTCCCTCGAGTGATTGCATTAAATGTTTCCTCTGTCATATTTGTTTTAATCTTCATCCTCCTCCTCCTCCTTTCCCACAGTGTGGCATAATCTCTTTTGTATATCCGTGACTCATGTTTAAAATCTCAGAACCCCAACGGTGGCTTCATCTACCGAGAAGGTTTCCGCACTTCCTCCTAGGTGCTGAGAGATAATTAGGGCAGCTAATGAATGTTAACTTCTCGCAGGCTGTGCGTGATAAGATGATGACGGTTTGTGCTGCATAAGAAAGTTCTCATGAGGGCTCAAATCTCAAAATGCCTCCGGTCTCCCTACTGGCCCTTTGTGAGTGTGTGTGGTTAACTAGCTTAGTTTTTTCCTACTGGTCTTGCTTTTTTTTTTTCAGATTATCTGTCACTTTCTCGTCACTCTCGCATTTTATTTGTTTAAAAAGTTCACAATTAATGCCAGTTTTTTTTCTTCCAGGAAAACAGAATGAAACCGCTGATGACTCATCCTGCACTAAACAGATTGTTTGTCCAATCAGAGGCTCTCTAAAATAAGAATGCCTCTAGTTGTAGTAATTAGCAAGTGGGGAAACTTGCAAGTGTATTTTATTTGTTTATTTTAATGATAATTTTAGCAAAAATAATTCATCAGACACTAAATATAGGTAAAAAGCTAAATTTAGCTTTAGCCATTACAGACTCAATGAAATCAAAATTGTGGCTTTTGATCTATGCCTGTTAGATTTGAAGCCACCCATGGCTTATTTTATTTTATGTCATTTCATGTCATGTCTGTCAGCTTTGAAACCATTTGTATGTTAGTTTTCTTTTAAAAGTTCACAATTAATGCAGTTAATGTACCTAAATCTCATTGGCTGTTTTTAATCCCTTCAATTATGCCTTGCCCCAATTTCTTGTTTCAATAGGAAATATGTCAAAACATAAAAGAAATCTGTAATACTCAAGTGGTTTAATAGAGTCTGCTAGAAAGCCCAAACTTTTTTCCATTTATTGTCACAATGTCAGGACTCTGAAACAACAAAAACATAAGGAACAAAATAATGATGGATCTTGCCGTTTTGATGGGTATTGTGACAAGTAGTGTTTTATAAAGAGACTGGCTAAGGATGCTACAACACATTTTTTTCAAGCGATGACATGGGAACATGTTTTATATAAAAGCTGGTTAATATTCTTAGGCTAATCATCATTAAAAGGTGTGAGAAAAGGTTAATTTGACCTGCAGATGTACCCTTCTGTATTTTCTCATCCCTTTGGATTGAGCCAGTGTGCTGAAGGAAAGTGTACCAGAGTTCATTACATCAGAAGCAGGTGCTCAATGTGTAAAGGTGTTTAATAGGAGAAGGGAACAACAGTAGTCATGCATTTTTATGAAAGTCAGAAGTAATTTCTAAGGGATTTCCATTTCTGTCTGCTAATTTTCTCTTTTCTCCCTGTATTCTCTTTCCCCAGCTCTGTTTTCTCTCTCTTTCTATCATCTCTCGCACCGTTATATATCAGGCAGAATTAGATTATTTTGGCTGGAAGTCTTTTAGTGAGAAAATGGTCTTGAACAGGCTACTTTATCTTGCTGATGTTATTTGTAGTTCCTTCGTTTCTCCGCTTATTGTTTGTTCGGTTTATAATGAAGCCTCACTGTGAAGCATATTGCAACAAAATTGTGTAAGCCGGAGGCTCGTCTGTATCAGTGAACTTTTGTGACTTCCTTCCCCCCACTGGTACCATCTCTGCATGCAAAGCCCTCCTCTAAAGCACATGACCAAACTTATCTTCCCTCTCTCGCTTTATATCAATCCCTCTATCTGTTCTGAGAAGGTCTTTGAGGGCCTTTTATGCTGTGGGGTCCTCCTCCAAAATATGCAGAGCTCAGATTAGAAAAGCACAGGAAATGACAGTGGCCATTCAGATCAGATACTGTATCAACTGAGAAACAGCAGTGACAAAACGCTGGACAAATGTAACGAAAACCAAAGCGAAAAGAGCTGATTAAAGAAGAAAATGAGAAAGGGAGAAATACAGGAGTGAAGCCGGCTGTAAAGTCTGTCAGGCCCCAGTCACATGTGTGGCTGAAGATCACAGACGTGACTGGGGGCCGTCCAGGCAGATTTCCTATTTGGATCCGAGTGCAGCAACTGCAGCCCTGCATCAGCACGCTAATTACTGACCCGAACCGCTTCTGTTTGTTTTGTAGTCTTCCTATTCAGAGAAAAAAAAATGAAGTTCCTGTCTCTGCTTTCAGAGAGAGGCAGAGAAACAGAACAAGAGCTGTAGTGTCCTCGGACAGTCAGGCGCAGCAGGGCCATTTTGTTTGTATGCTGAAGAGTTGACATTTTTACAGTCACTGTGAAGAAATCAGGATCTGCAAGAGATAAACAGGTACTGATATATTTTATCGTAAGTGTGGAGTCTATGCTTTGTGTGTGTACGAGCTTAGTTAGAGATTGGTGACAAAGTTGTCTGTACAAGAGGTCTAAATTTGACAAATAGTATTATTTTCTTTTAAATGAGTATTAACCTAATTATCAAAATTCTGTATTTAATTATTATTTCATTATATACAATTTTATTAAGGTTACTATTTTGTTTATTGCTATTATCATCATTGTTGTTATTTATAATATTACTTATATTAATATTATTTAATTAATGAATGTATTTATTTATTACGTGGTTGTTTATTAAATATATGTTTAATGAATAATTATTTATTTAATTTTTCCAATTCTAAAAATGCTAAAAGTTGTCTTCTGGGTTAAGGGGTATGTTAGCAGTAATTACTTCATAGTCATATTAGTTCATCAGCAGTATAACTGGAGAATTATCCATAAGTTTGCTGTAGTTTTTTTTCTTGTTCTATGCGGCCAGTGGGTAGTTTCCTGTCTAAGCGTGTGCATGCTAGCGTACAACACAGGAAATCACTGATTCAAAGCCCGGCCATTTCCCCTCCTTCCTGCTCTCGAAGTATTTTCCTCGGTGTGTGCCCGACTCCTCTCTCGTGCCCCTCCACGCTATTTAAACTGACAAAGACTGAAAAAGTCCAAAAGTAAGTTATTGTGAACATGGCTTTGATCTCTCTCTGTCTTTCTCTCTTTCTCACCTGTCTATTATTCTGTCTGTTGATTTCTCTGTGTGGCTCTCTGGAGGGCCTCTGTTCTTCCTGACTGGAGCTCTATTGAGTGTGGCTCAAATGAAGAGAGAGGGGAAAACGATCATTAGAGGAAGTGGGAAAAGAGAAGAAATGTGCAGATAGTTTGCATGGACAGGGGCAATGGAAGATGAGATAAAGATCTGAAGGCACATTCCCAACCACCTAGCAACCACTCAGAATACCCTAACATCATGGAAGCTACCTTTGCAAGCACCACTCACAACTTCTTCAGAAAACATAAAAAACTAGCTGTAAAACATAACCACAGAGAACACCCTGGCAACCACTCATAAAAATCACCATTTCATAATGGAGATGACTTCTGCATGGGCAATGCCCTAGTAACCACTTAGCAACACCCTATTGAACACAATGAAGACCCTTAACACAACAACCACAACAAACACTCAATGCCTTAACACTCAAAGTAAGCAATGCCTTAGCAACTACCCACAACAATCTAACATCAAGGAGGCAACATGCACAGACAAGCACCACTCACAATCAGCTATCAATGTTCTTGTAACTAGCCATACCACTTCAATAACCACCTAGAAGCCACAGTAAACACCCTAGAAATGCCCTGGTATGACAATCAACACCATAGCAGCTATCTAGCAACACCCTGGCAACTACCTACAACAATTTAGTGTCATGGAGGCAACTTTTGCACTGGCAAGCACCACTCCTGCTCACTGCTGTAAGCTTCCTTTTTGCACAACCCTTTGATTCACAAGTAGAAGCTAGTTAGCTTTGTGTTTAACCATACCATACGCTGAACCACGTTTATATATGTTTTAAACCACCTGTGTCTTGAGTGTGTATGGAGAGTGAGTTTTGGAAGAAGTGTTTAATGATGGATGTGTCTAATGCTTGCTGGGTGATGCAGGATTTGGGACTGACAGGTAGAGTAATAGTTGTCTGAGAAGAAATCGATGGGGTTCATGGGAAATAAGTGCGATGACAATGGAGGCAGCGTGGCCTGTGCTATGTTTACTTTGAGGGATAGTTGCCCTCACATGCCTGCTGTGTTGCACCCATGAAGAAAAACAGGCAGCAGGAGGTGATGGCAATGTTTCACTGAAGATGATGGAGCAGGGTGTCATGGGTGGGTGTTTATCCCTGTCATTTTGCGCGTGAGACAGAATTGTCTCTCTTCACAGAGAGAAACTCTCAATTGAATGCTGAGTGTTTCTTTTACACTTGAAAAAACTTGGTGCCTTTTAATGTGTAATTTTTTTGAATGCTATCTATCTATCTATCTATCTGTCTATCTGTCTATCTGTCTATCTGTCTATCTGTCTATCTGTCTAT